TTGTTTGTTATAATCAAAGCAAGTGAAGCTATATTGAATCATAGGTCAACAATTTTTCCCTTTTTTACTATGACAAACAATATGCGGTTTGTAATTTATTTGTAGAGATACACAAGATATTCTCCCTATCTTTTGCACATTTATGGGGACCGAGTTTGTGTGTATATTATTTTCCATAGCAGAACAAAAATGTGAAATTCCATAATTCAATAAATAACAGAAGTCACAATATGGCAATTTATAAGACATCATAATTCATACCACTTCATGATACCAATTCATAATAGCAATCAATCGCATTTTCCTTTTTCCCCCTTTGTTGTCATCAAAAAGAATGGGGACTTAGGAGAAACTTCCCCCATAATTAAGACATAGGTGCAAGTTAGAATAAATAAGTAAAATGTAATCAATCAATTCATAACAATTGATATAAATCATAGGTCATGACATAAGAATAAGTTTGAAATACGGTTGAAAGTGCATCAAACTAGATAATGGATTTGAGAAGAAGTTGTGCATAAGTTAAAACAATAACAAGAAGAGACTTCAATTGTCCGTCGGTGGAGGAGGGCCTCAAGGATAGATTGAGTACATGTGAGCAAAGAAGGCTTCCTGTGATAAGCTTATTTTCTCCATCCTATGCTCAAGAGAATCCATTCGCCTTGTGACAGTAGTAGCAAGGGAATCAATTCATCCTTGGAGGATGTTGAATTGATCTTCGAACATTTGTTGGCCGGGAGTGGGTACAACTTGTGGAGTAGGCATGCATCTTGCTTGCGGTACAACATTGCGATCAACACCATCATCACCGTCATCACCACCCATTTCTTCTTCCACCTCTTATTCGGCAAATGGCCAAGTAGTAAGGCCCGAAGAATTGTCGAAGCCTTGGGTGTGACACACCCATTGCCCGTCACCTTTAACGATTTTCATGCGTTTAAGGGTGTTAAGGTTAATGACGTCGGTGTGTTTTGGTTTAAGAATGTGCTCATCGTCTAATGGCACGTTGAGGTGTTGAAAGATTTTAGTGAGAAGCATACCATAAGGTAAACCTAAGATTCGAGGAGACGAGTGGACGTGCCAAGAGGAGGGTGAATTGGTTTTTGAAACTTTTTCGACAATTAGTCTCAAAACTATTCAATACACAAGATATGAATGCAAAGTATAATTAGAGAAGTAAATATGCAAATTCGATAACTTAATTCAAGTATTGTCACTTAAGTAGATATAGTACAATGTAAATAGAAATTTAAAGTAAAGTACAATAATGTAAAGATGACAAGCGAATTTAATGGGGTTCGATACACAATGTGTTCTACGTCCCCGTTACCAAACTTTCCGTCACGAGTAAGGCCAAATGCACTATAATTGTAACTTACAAATAAAGAGTACCGATCCTTCAGTGACTTACAACAAGGGGCACTTATCCTTAGATGACTTACAATAAGAAGCACCTATCCATAAGTGACTTACAAAAAGGAGCATTTATCCTTAGGCGACTTACAACAAGGAGCACATATCTTTAACAACAATCGAGTTTTCACAAGGCTTTCGAAACTACAAAAATAGAAATGATAATTTTAAAATAAAAAGAACTCTCTTAACAAATGATATAATCAAGTCAAGTGTTTAGAGAGTTAGGATAATACTTCAATTGATAGAAAATAGTAAAGCTCAAGTTTTGATGTTGCAAACTTTGACGAATGATAGATAATGAAATAGTTTGTATGTTTGTATCAAAGTTTTCAACCTATGATCTTTCTTAACAAATAATACAAGTTAAGAATGAAGAGAAATCTACACTTCAATATAAGTGTTGGCAAGGAAAACTTTTATCAAGAATTGAAAAATAGATGAGATTGGAAAGTTTTCTTGCAAAATAGAATTCTTGATGAAATAGATGAAACTAGTTTGATCAATCAAGAAATTCTTTTTGATAAATGAAATAGAATATATAATCAAGTAAATTCAATGATTTTCAATAAATAAACTCTCTTAATTTCTCTTCTAAGTTGTTGAAATTGAATGCAAAAATAGATGACTATTTATAGATCAAAAGATTGATAATCAGGAAGTTTCGGTCGATCGAAGTGTGAATATAGCCGTTAGAAAATCAAACTGTTGGAGTTTAGCTGACACTTCGGTTGAGCGGATCGGTCGACCGATAGAAGTTAGGTCGACCAGTGAGGGAACCAGTAAATACTGCAAATATGGTGAGAAGATGGAAAAAACGGTAAGCAATATCTTTCAGTCGACCAATCTATACTTTGATCGATCGAAGTATGTTTGTTTTGAAAATTAATTTTTACATCAAAATGTTCATTTTTCAAAACTTATTTTCATATCAAAAACATATTTATGCAAGTGATGAATTTATGAGAAATAGTTTGAGCTTTATGCATTTGCTAAAATCGATAAGTTATACATTTACATATAAATCAAAGCAACTTCTAAAACTCTAATTCTTCAAGGTTCTTGATCTCTTCGAGCCTCTTATCATAAGTTGTTCTTCAACGGATGAAGATTTGAGCCTTTGAACGCTTAAAAAGATTTATTCATGAAAAACTCAAGAAACGAGATTTGTTAGAGATATAAGTATATTGTTTGTTATAATCAAAACAAGTGGAGTTGTATTGAATCATAGGTCAACAGGTGATGTTGATGATATACCACACGTCCCACACCCACCTCACGATGTTCCTACCTCTAGTATTCCTCGCTCTTCGTCTGGCGGATTCACATTTACCGAGGATCACTACAACCTCCTTAATGGCCGTATTGATTCTCTTACATCTTCAGTGGATGGACTTGGTAGGATACTTCGGGAGTTGCAGGTCCAGCAAGACGATATTCGGGCTCAAAAGGATGCCATCCAAACACAGTAGGCCGACATGCAAGCTCAGTGGAACGCCTTCTACACTCACTTCTATACACTTTTTCCTACACCACCTCCTCTGGAGCTATAGATCTCATTTTTGTTGCTAGTATAGATTGTCTTTATGTTTTTATGACTTATTTACAATCTTTATGTTGTGGCTTATTTTGTTTTAGACATCGTTATCTACGATTATCTTCTTTTATGATTAATGCTATGGTTATTATGCTCCATGTTTTGCCTTATGCTTTTTGTTTATGCCAAAATGGGGAATGCAAAGTGAGATGATTATACATGATTCGTTTATGATAATATACTTAAAGTATATGAAAAAGGGAGAAAGAGAGAAACTCATACTTTGAATACATGGTTATCAATTTGTAAAAGATAGGGGGAATACAATTGCATGATAAATAATTAATCATATTCTGCAAATCATCTTGTCCGTCATAATCAAAAATGGGAAAATTGTTGACATATGATTGATTTCGAGTTTTGATTATAACAAACAAATTATTATTATCTCTAACATTTATATTCGAGTCTTCATTGTTACATGTTGTGAACCTGATGGAAATCAAGTATTCACAATCAAGCTTGGAAATCGAGCACTCGCGTCAAAACAATCAAAAACAAATCAAGCACTCGCGGCAAATTCAAAATCGAGCAAGAAATCGTGCACTTGCGCCAAATCAATCAAAGACATTAGAGTTAGATGATTTGAATCCATATGTAAAGGTAATACGCTTTAATTCCTAGCAATGAATAACTACAAGCTTGTAAGTCAATTTTTTATGTACGAGATAAACTTTTCGCAAAAATGCTAGCATAGAAAATTATTTTCGATATGACAAAAATTTTCACTTGATTTTTTTTACCAATACTCTTTTTGAAAAGTTAAGTGAGTATGTTCCTTAAATATGTACACTTACAAAAACAATCAAGAAAAGAGTAAATCAAAGATGTCTGCTTTGGTGGACGTCCGATGAGTCGGCGGATGTCCGGTGGCCCAATGGTCAAAATTTTAACCGTTCTGATTTCTAATACTCAACGGCTAGTTCAATCGTCTGGGACAGTGGTGGACATCCGGTTGGACAGAACTTTTTGACGTGTTGACTACTATAAATACCACTTCACTTTACATTCAAAAACACTTTTAAGAGCATTCAAGTGATATTCTTTTGAGCAAAATTGCATTAATTTCTCTTATCATTTATTATCAAATCATTTTGGTCTTGAAAAACTTTTGATTAAATTAACTTTTGAAAATCATTCTACACATCAAAATTTTCATACATAATACTGGAGTTTCATTCATTGCTATCTATTAAAGTGTTAGCATATTTCTCTCTTGGTACTTAATTGTGCTCATATCATTTATTAAGAAAGAAATTTCTATTTGCAAATTCAATTCTTTTTGAACTTGTAGGTCATGTTGAGATCCCGTAAAACTCAACGTTGCATAAGGATCGGTGCTCCTTATTTGTAAGTCACCAAAAACTTTGTAAAGGGTTGGATTGCACCACAAGTCAATCAACATATTAAAATTGGCCTTATTCATGCCAGAGAGCTTGGTAACAGATGGCGTAGATCATTGCGTTGGATCGAACCTCTATAATTATATCGTTTGCATTTTCTATCATTCTTTACTTATTGCTTTCATATTCGTGCTTACTATTTGAATTAATCTATCTAGTTATCACGTACTTAATTTTAGGTTAATTTTTCAAAAAAATTTTAAAAATCAATTCAATCCCACTTGGTTAGCTATTCTTGGACTATCATTATTTTCATCTTCATCCTAACCTATATTTATGTTGCCCATATTTTGCTTTTTACCATTTCTTCAATATCCAAGTCGTCGTCTTAAATATGAAACTCAACCAAGTGGATTAGAGGATAACGACACTTGCTTTAATGTGGATCTTTATAAGTATTGGATTGATCATGGTGTACACTGTTCTTACGATGGTATATGTGGTGCGGGGCGGTTCAGGGGAAGGGTAGTTCCGAGTTAGAACAACCTAGAACGAAAGTGAAATATCAAAGACTTAGCTGAATACAAAATTAGAAATTTTCAACTGAAATAATTTATATATTACCCTCATATTGCGCTTGTCTAAATTTAACTTTCCTTACGGGATTCTTGCACTTCAGCAGACGTCGATTCTCCTGAACTTGTCTTAGAAGCTTTGATATCTTCGACTCCATTTTTCCCATCAAGGAATTCAATCAGGCCTTTCAGTGCAATTGAAGCCTTGTCCCTCTTCATTACCAGCTCTCGTGCATTTGCACTAGACACGTCAACCATCTCGATAAGTTCTTTAAGGCCTTCAAGACTCTTAACTTCCTTCATATCACGACTCGCACCATCTTTTTCTTTCTCCGGCTTTGGCAAAACTTCTGGTTTATTTACTTCTGAATTTTCTTTCAATGCTTCGGCTTCTTCACTTTCCTTCTTTTTCACGAGGAATTCAATCAGGCCTCTAAGTGCAACTTCAGGATCATCACTCTTCAACAACTGCTCACCTACTTCAGCAGGGGTCGCCTTGGTCGTCCCTATCATTTGCTCGACTTCCGTGATAAGTGGGTGCTCTGTGATCCCAAGATAAGTAGAAGCAAGCATTTTGAACCCACACGGTGTGCAATAGGACATGTGAATATGCACATCCATACGACCAGGGCGCAGCAAGGCTGGGTCGAGCCTATCTATGTGATTCGTTGTGAACACAATGATCCGCTCATCCCCACAGCTCGACCACAATCCATCGATGAAATTCAGTAATCCTGACAAAGTAACCTGGAATAAACATAATGGACACAATGTGGTTCAGTGCTCTCATTCTCATTCAAAATTAAAAAATATCTCTTTCACATTAGTCTATGAATCAAACAACTAGCCTTTTCACAATTAATTTGGGGTCGGCTTTTCATCACTTCGGTTTTTCTTATTAATAAATTTGGACCATACACACTGAAGAAAACAACAGAGCTAAAGCTCTTTGGAAACTCAAAACAACAATGTTAATTTCACTCTCATGAATGGACAAAGCAATCAGTAAACATGCCGTGCCAAAAAAAGTTAGGAAAATGTTCATGAGAAAACTTACTTTAGGATCTTGATTACGGTGGAGAGGATGCATTGGCGGTGGCCGAGGAGGTGGTACTGGTCGCCTCTCTGATAGATCAATGGAAGCATCTATGTCCTCAACCACAAGTATAGACCGATTAGCGGTTGAAATAATGAGTCTCCTCAGAGCAGAATTACTCCTAAGATTAGTGAGTTCCAAATCATAAACATCAAAATTCAGATAATTGGCCATGGCAGCAATCAAACTTGATTTCCCTGTCCCTGGTGGCCCAAACAACAAGTACCCCCTCTTCCATGCCTTGCCCACCTTCCTATAAAGCTCTTTTCTATTCACAAATCTTTCAAGATCATCAATCACCATATTCTTGAGTTCTGCATCCATTGCTAAAGTTTCAAAAGTGGCTGGATGATCAAGATTCACAGACTGCCATGGATTTCCCCCGGGACCATGCCCCTCACTCTTCAAAGTCATCAATTTCAATGTTTTCATTTCTTGTTTGATGGGTTTGGTTTTTTCCAAAATATAAGGCAGATATTCATCAAGAACCTTGTTTTTGTACTTCTTATGAAAACTTAACTCAAAATATCGAACCTCAGATTGTATAGTGGAAGAATATTCATCAGGATATGGCACGTACCTTGCTTTAGTTTGTTTGCGAATCATTCTCCATTTCAGTTGGAACCCACCAAATTTATCCCTTAGTTCTTCATTTCTTTCCATTGAAACATGGATTTTCTTCTCCTTTACGGGCAATGATGCCCGAAATCTTCTGGTAGAGGGATTAAAAATGGTAGCCAAGTAAATTTCAGCAGCAGAGAAGAGCTGGTTTTTGTTTAGACCTTCAAATTCATCAATGACTATTGTGATTTCATTGGAAAATGTGGATAGAAAGTACTGAAATTTGGAGAGTATATATTGTCTGATTTCGTGGGGAATGAAATCTCTGGCGAAGGATCGGACTACCATGGTCGTGGCAGCAACAGAAGCTGCAGTTGAGATCACTGCTTTTGTTGAAAATATTTGGATATTTGGATGCATGATTTCTTAGTGAGTTATGAAAAGTGTTCGGAACCCAAAAATCTCAATTGGAATTCGAAATCTCGGTTTTCAAGAAAGGGATTCTTGATCTAATCTTTTGAACTCTATATTTGGTATCAAGAATCACAATTTCAATTACAGACACACCAGTGCCACTATGAAATCCCAGATCGGATTTGAGCCCGAGATCCAAACTGTTCTAAAAACTCCTCCTAAGAAACAAAATTTGGAAAAGAAGATAGGAATTTTAATGGGTTTTTCGAAGGATGCAAATACCAATGGTGGAATTGTTAATGAAGTCTGAGGTCACCAGGTCTTTTGCTCTCTTTTTTCTGGTGACTTCGTGCATTGGCTGTTTGTACTTTTTATCATGACAGACCATTATTTGACAACGACCATACTATT